TCTATTTACATAGGCGTTTACCTCTTGTCCAAAGGCACCTACTTGGGGATTTACAAATACTTAATTAGAATTTATATTATTATTTATTTTAAGTATTAATGTCATTTATATTTAATTATATATTATTATTTTATAATTCGATACATCCATCATGTGTTGCAGTGGATATGTATCAATTTGTATCAATTTGACTAGTGATCTTAACTAGAGCCTATTTTTAGGGTACAGCTTGTATTACAAGCATCCTGAAAAATCACACTAGGGCTTATCTTCCCATTGGGTCTTATATTCTGGGAAATGTGGTAGGTACTCCAAATACCTGTCTGACAAGTGAATTGTTGCATCAGCAATGGGCACTGTGTTCTCCAGGCCTGATCCCTGTCATGCGCACCGCAGATACACAGGTGAGCAAGGCTTCTCTGCCCGGCCCCGCAGGCTGGGGTGACACTGGTGAGGAAGTGTGGAGTCCCCCACAGCTGAAGTGCTTCGTAGGGGACTCATGGAACTCCTGCCCTGCAGCTTTGTGACCCTTTGCCATGGCCTGTCCTCAGGGGACCCAGCAGAGGCGGAGCCCCTGTGTAGATCTGGGTGTCCTGTGTTTCAACAGATGTACTAAATGCGTCTGTCTCATGATTTTCACAGGTTTATTTTCAAGTTAGGGGTTTATATTAGGAGCACTTTGAAAAATCATGCTAGGGCTTATTTTCCAGTTAGGTCTTATTTTCAGGTTTGGAACTCTCAGCCCCACCCCCTGGGCTCAAGGAAAAAGTTGGGGGAGAGATCAAGGTCTATAAAAACTTTCTGACCAGGAGATTTGGTGAGCTTCTGAGTTGGTCACTACATACACCTGCCAGGAGGGTAGCACACAGAAGCGCCTATGCTCAGGATTCTTCTAGATCTTGGTCTATGTGCTTCTTCTTCTCTGTCCTTTGTAATAAAGTGGCAAATGTGTCTCCCGAAGTTCTGAGAGCCATCCTAGCAAATTAACCCAAGGAGGAAGTTGTGGGACTCAGGTTTGTAGCCATTATCTCAGGTAGATAGCTTAAGTTGGTTTTTTTGTTTTGTTTTGTTCAATGGTTTGGGTGTGTGTGTGGTTTTTTGAGACAGGGTCTTGCTATGTAGTGCTGGCTGGCCTCGAACTTTCGATGATCCTCCTGCCTCAGCTTCCGGAGTGCTGGGATTACAGGCATGTGCCACCATGCCCAGCGATAGTCTTAAGAATTGAATTGAATTATTGGATACCCAGTTGGTGTCCACTGGAGAATTGGTGGGTAGAGGAATGAATGTGATCTGGTCACAGAAGTATGCAGTGGGTATATTGAGCAAAGAGGGAAAATGTTTTCTTTTTTCCCTTTTACAAATGGCTGCCCATTATTTATATAACCATTCCTCAATTATTTCTCTTTTAGATTATGTAGTTTTTCATTGTTATAATAATATGATACTGTAAACAGATAGCTTGTATATAAAATGGTGCCTATGCCTGAGTTTTTTCCCAAAGAGGTGCTGGCTTAAGCTTTGTTTAAAAAACTAACTCTACACATTTAATGATTTTTTTTTTGAATTGTGAACATGCTGAAGAACATTAATGAGGAAGATCAAAGTGAAATGATTCAATTGTACTCCAACTTTGGGGCAATCCATCTAATTAGAAATCTGCCTTATAAAAAGCCTAAACATTTAATGGAATATGTATGACAAAAAGTATTCAAACTGGCGTTACACACAAGGGTGGGGAAACATTGCTAGTTTCCCTCTCAGAGAATAAATCTATATGGCTTACAACTATTTGAGAAAGTATTTAACCTCACTTTGTCAAATCAAACAGAAAGATGCTATTTAACAGATTAAATTGGTAAGGTTGTTTAAAAATGGAAAAATCAAAGTTGAAGAGACTACGGAGTTAAGACACCTCCGTACGGTAATGGTGATGTTTAAGATATATTCTTTAAATATGTGCACACTGCTTGGAAATGAAAAGTAGCAATTTCTTGAGGAGGTTGGTGTTTGTGTAGGAAACTGTCACAGGTACACAGGGATCAGAAGTTGTGGCTGAGGCTGTGGATGGAAGAATACACACTAGGTAGATCTGCACAGGACAGGGAGACCAGTGTAACTTGATAGAACATTCCAAATTCAGCTACTTTTAGAGCTGGTCTGATAGGCTAACTTAAAATCTTGATTTCTCATTTTTTATGGCTGAGTAGTACTCCATTTTATTAAAAAAAAACCACCGCATTTTCTTTATCCAGTCTCCATTTGATAGGCATTTGGGCTGTTTCCGTGTTTTAGCTATTACAAACTTTGCTGCCATGAACATGGGTGCCCATATATCACTGTGGTATGATTCTTTTAATTCTTTGGGGAAGATCCCCAGCAGGGGATTAGCTGGATCAAATGGGACTTCCAGTCCTAGTTCTTTGAGATAGCTCCATACTGATTTCCACAGTGCTTGCACCAGTCTACACTCCCACCAGCACTGGAGCAGGATTCCTCTTTCCCCACAGCCCCTCCAGCATTTGTTATTGGTTCATTTCATGATAGCAGCCATTCTTTCTGGAGTGAGGTGGAATCTCAGCGTTGTTTTCATTTGCATCTCTCGAATGACCAGTGATGTTGAACATTTTTTCA